GTTTATAAGGTAAGTTTAATTTACTTCTGAAAATGTTCTTTGTTAAAAGTACTTTCATAAAAGTATAAAATTATTAATTTTCATGTTATTATACTAATCAAAATCATGGTTCATTTTTTTTTGAAATGTCAAAATTTTTTGGGACGGAGGTAGTAGTAAATAGTAATGGACGGCCAGTTATGATTAAACTATACTAGTCAATCCACCCGTGCGTTGCACAGAGAACAAATGAAATCAATTTATTTTTACAAATAATTCATTTCTTGAGTAATGTATATACATACTTATTGTATAAAAATAAAAACATCATATAGAATTATATTAGAATACATGTATGATAATTGTTAGTCTGTTGGAGATACACCAATTAGTATAAAACTACCAAATAAGTATTCTTTCATCTCTAACATATCTTGTCTAATGAAGGTGATAACAATTGTTATCATATTACAATCTCATACCTAGTATTGTTTAGTTATAATTATGATGATTATTCAACACATGACATTACTTTTTACTATCTTGTTGTGTTTTAAAGTTTCTAAATATATTCCATCTAAAAGGTGAAAATATTTATTTTATACTCCATAATATCTCGTCATTCATCTCAGTATATGTTTTATAAAAGCTAGAGATCAAGATTGTTAAAATCACTATATGTTTTATAAGAACTACATATCAATGTTGGTAAAATCGCGAGTTGAATCGTAAAATTGTATAATTGAGATCAATATCATTCAACCAATTTGACTCATAAACAAAATTGGAAATGCTAAAAATCATTTCAAAATTGGGAACCATTATTTAAAATTGTGATTTCAACAGATTTTTAAAATAGTTACTTATTTACTAATGAATAGTTATAGTAGAATTAAATGAATGAATTTTTGTATTTTATGTTGCAGCTAATTATAAAAAACAATTACTCCCTCATCTCGTTAAATTGTGCTAACTTTATTTTTGCAGCTGCCCCAACAAAAATTGTCATTTCCATTTAAACTAATAAATGTGTAGGTAAATTATTTTTCTCAATTGATTTGTAAAAATCTCAATCACATACAAAGTATTTGTTACTTTATTTGTATTCCACATGCAAGTCAATTCTGGACACATTTAATGGGGGTACTGAATATTATCACTGTCGTTTACATAATATTTGTATTCAAATACATTGTAGTACTCTATTTTATATTATGAAATTAGAACATTTCATTTTTAACTTTATTATATTATGTCTCTTAATTAATTATGTATATGTATCTTTTAATATTTTTCTAATATTTTTTTAATATTTAATGTATTTATGCTCAATATAATTTTTTAAAGTTTTATTTATAACTTACAACAATTAATTAGCTTGGCAGTTAATATGGCTTCACTAAGTAATGCTTCATTAATAGTGACAATAATTTTCTAAAATTTTATTTATAACTTACAACAATTAATTAGGTTGCACTTAATATGGCTTCATTAAGTAATGCTTCATTAATAGTTACAACAATTTTTCACTTCTTTTGGCTCCAAATAGATTTTTATTTGGATCTCCACCATGTTCTCTTTATATATATAAAGATATTATACGTCCTCCGTTCTTTTTTAGTTGCAACAATCAACCTTTGCACAATTGCCAACACACACATTTGACCGTAAGTATGTCTTAATCTCTATTAATAAAAAAATATTAAAAATCAGATTTTGAAAATTTGTAATGAGATGAATTAAAAAATAATTTTTTAAAAAATAATTTCCATAAAATAATAGTGTAAAATGTAGTCAAAGTAGATCATGTGAATGGTGCAAAAAGTCAACATGTTGCAACTAAAAAGAAACGGAGGATAGTACGTAGTATCACATTTGAATTTACAGATACGCCATCAAAATGGGCGGGAATTTGCCTCAAAAACTGTAGCAACTTTGTTATTTTATATAATATAAAGAAAAGATTATATTTTGGTCATTCTCAAACCATGACAGTTGGATTATATGATAGATTCTTTGATGGCCAGATTTTTTTTTCCCAGGCATGCTTCTTAACTATAAATGTAATCGGCAGACAATTGCGCTGAACTTGAAGTATTCTAATGGGAATGCATTTCTATATATCTGTGAAGCATTATGCATTTCTGGAGCATAAATTATGCTTCAGCTGAGGACACAGAAATTATCTTAACTCGTAAGTATGGCTGATTGCTGATGTAGTGATATATACAGGGGCGGATCTAGCATTTGCGTTGAGGGTGGGCCAAATTTTAATTAAATAACGTATATTGAAACAAATGTCGAAATGAAAAAAAGTAGTTAAATAATATTACAGAAATGTCAAAGAAAAAAAACATTACAGAACGGGCAATTTAATTATTTTAAAAGTCGTAGACAACCCGAAATGAAATTGGCTCGGCTACTGAAATGTTCAATACTAATTTTAAAGTCAATTTCTCGAAAACCAGTTTTCTATTGACTCTATAGTGTAGTCTCTTTAAAAAAATAAACTAATTAAATATCACTCACCAAGCACAATGAATTGAACTTATTAATTTTTCAAGTCAATATTGAAAAGTTCAATGAATTGAATTAATAAATTTTTCAGACTAATATTCAAATGTCAAATGAATTAAACTAATCTCAAACCAATACTCTAAAGCACAATGAATTGAACTAATAAATTTTCAGGCCAATATTCAAAAACCCAATGAATTGACCTAATTAATATTTCAGATTAATATTCAAAAGTCCAATTTATAAAATTGATGAAGATCAAATGTATGTGGAATAAAGAGATATTGGAAAGAAAATTGAAAATTTTAAAATACTAATAAAAAAAATCAGTACGTGTTGCACTAAAAAATTAAGTACCTGGGGATCGAACTCCAGACCTTATTCTGCACCAAACGCTCAGTTCACTTCCATCAGGCCAACGTAACAAATGTTAAATATTTGACTTTAGCTAGTATTATCCCCTATTAACTGAATCACTATATATAAATAAATACATAATATATATACTAGTAATTTTTATTTTTTTGAGTGTGGGCCTAGGCCCTCCCTGGGCTTAGCCTAGATCCGCCCCTGGATATATATGCTTCATTCCGCGAAGACCATTCACTTCCAAACACTGCCTAAAAGCTATGTGCTAAATACGAGTATGTGGTATATTTATAATTTAATCAATATAAATAACAAATAACATTATTTATTCGACTAATGTTGTTGTATTTTGGAATACTATGAGAGTGTTCTAAATAACATTATTTATCACCGTTAGTTGATTATTATGAAAATAAGTACTTTTATTATGTGGTCTTGGAACGGGGAGAAGTCTAACGGCACATGGATGCGAGCATATATGAACCGTGGGGTAGTAAATGGTGGATTTTCAGTGGGGGACTAGAATTAATGGAAATAGTTGATTGAAAAACAAGTTAGAGAAGTAAGAGTCCAATTTTTACCAGTTGTAAAAACCAGATTTGAACAGTTATAGAAAGTGGTAATGGAAATAGTTGATTGAAAAACAAGTTAGAGAAGTAAGAGTCCGATTTTTACTTATTTCAGTTGTAAAAACCAGATTTGAACAGTTATACTATACATAAAGACCAGAAATTTATCAAATCAGACTAATCTTGATTAAACCAGACTTCAAAATTCTAATCCAACTAAAAATATCTTAATAGCAAAAGTACAAACATCCTAACTGCTGGATGGAGGACCTATAAAGCGGCAGGCAGTAAATTGTCATGACTTAGGGGTGGTCCAAGTTAACATGGAAGTATATGGTGATAGACCAAAAACGGCAATTGAGGTGTGTTCTTGAAGCTTGAAGCTTCACCGCCTGTTGGAGGCGGTTGGTTAACCCCCTCACCAAAAAAGGATCCCCTCACCAAAAAAGGATGACGCCCCATCCCTGAGGGCTCCCTTAACACCGACCGGAAGGTATGATGGGAGAATGGAAATTGAACTATAATCACAAGTTGTGAGATAGAGAGTGAGACTCTGTTCCTGGTACTTGTAGAGACCCTATGTTGAGTAACCTCTCATCGCAGTTGCGGGATTCGAACTCGGGACTTAACCTTTGTGACACTCCCTCGCTACCAGTTGAGCTACGCCCATCAATATTAACCCCTTCTCCCTTTCTAGTGACGGACTGATCACTGACGGGTAATACTTGATGCTTTACTTATTTGATTTTTTTATTGAAGAATAAGTTGTTTTCTTTTAATTATCATTTTTTAAGGTGTTATTAGAGTAATGTACATAAATAAATGTGGGGACAAAGAATTTGATTGGTCTTTGGGGGCAAGTCGATTATGGGTCTGTTTGCAACAACTTCTACTTTAAAAAAGTGTTTTTTTAATGAAATGGGGAGAAATGATTAAATAAAAGTTGATAGTGTTTGAGAAAAAAGTTATTTTGAAAAGTAAAAGTTGATAGTGTTTGGTAAAATAAGTGCTTTTTGTGTAATAGAAAAAGTAAAAGCACTTTTGACACGAAAGCCGAGAAAAATAAAAGTTGTAGTGTTTGATAAAAGAAGTGTTTTTTTAAATCCAAAAGCTGAGAAGTATTTTTTTAAAAGTGGTTGCAAACCAACCCTATACATCCCATCCTAAAGCAGCCTTCAACTATTATTTTACTTTTACGGAGTATTTTATTTCTTGTTGCTTTTATCAATAGTAAATGCGTAGTAAATTTCTTTTTCCAAAAAAAAAAACTACTTAATCTTATACTTGGTACATAGTAAATTTTCAAAAACCATATCGATTAAAGTATCAAACACTATCTAGTATCTAGTACTCCCTCCGGTTCTAAATCGCACTTTGACTTTGACACTGTTTGATATTGTTTGACACTATTTGGTGTAAATTTGTAAGACAAACAAAGAAGTGTAAAATTTAATCTAATACTAACAAAAAAAGGAAAGTGTAAAGATGATTTAAAAAACCATTATGAACTAGAAGTAAATATTATTATCTCCAATTAAACATATTGTTAGAAAAGAAAATCTCTCTTGTGCATCACAAATTTTATGTAATCATTAAAACTATTTACTCTATTATTTAATTTAAATCACCATATACGTAGTTTACGTACAATTAATTCCAAAGAGCCGAGGCGGGGTCGCCATGGCGGTGGGTTCTTCTCGAAACTTAACCAGAAGATTGAGCAATCCCAAATCTTGAAATATATAACCGGGAATCCAGCTGGAATACCAGAATTAACGAATTAATTATCTCATCAGTCCCCGACGTTGATTAAAAGACGGCCGCCGCTCAGCGCTTTCACCACTTCTGATTCCTCTTCCCTTCCGTCTTCTTCGCCGTCGCAGAGAAGAGAGACAGGGCAGTGCAGAACGTATTCCCTCATAAAAGGTCTCATCTCCCTTTAATTTCTTATTTGATTGATGAACGGATTTGTTCACTTTTAATGAACTCTGTATTTTAAAAAACGAAATCGCTTTCCAATTGATTCTCTGATTTCTTGTTGAATTCAACCATCAGCCAGAAGAGGAGGGGAGTTGAAGATGCTGTGAGATTCGCCGGAGGATAGACGAGAAACAATGGAGGGGGAGACTCACATTCTGGAGATTAACTTGATCTCTGCTCAAGGTCTGAAGGCGCCTCCCGCTAACCTGCGCCGATTGCAAACTTACGCCGTCGCCTGGGTCGACTCCTCCGCCAAGCTCAGAACTGGACTGGACCGCTTCGGCGGCGAAAACCCTACCTGGAACGACAAGTTCCTCTTCCAGATCTCGCCCGATTTCGTCTCCAGCGAAACATCCGGAGTCTCATTCGAGATCTACGCCGCCGCCTGCATCAAAGACGTTCTCGTCGGCTCTGTCCGATTCCTCCTCAGCAGCTGCCGCGACTCGATCAAGGAGGCCGCCGGGACTCCCGCGTGCATTCCCGTCCAGATACAACGCCCTTCTGGCAGATTCCACGGCGTTCTCAACATCGGCGCCTCTCTCTACAAAGCTACCAAGTTGGATCGCGCGATGATGACTGGTGGAGTTTCAGCGATTTCCTTCCGCGACTTGGTGGCGAGGAAAGAGACCCTGCTCCGCCGCGGCCGCCGGCTCAGCGATTCTGGGTTTAAGAGGAGCCAGAAGTCTTCCAGTGCGTTGTCGCGCGAATTGTCTTCTTCCTCCAGTTCGTCCAACGGTAATGACTCGAACCACAATTTCTCAGACAAAAACGAGTTGGCGGTGGACACCACGGCAAAGAAAGTGCTCGGCATGGACGGCGGCGGAGGATTGCTCTGTGGGCTGACGATGCAGAGGAGGTTCAGTTTCTGTCCGCTGGATCACAGCATGCTGAGGGTTGCTGATTGGGCTGGATCTCTAGAGAAGAATCCTTAATGGACAGGTCACAACATAGCCGAATAGCCCAATAGCCCAATTACATGAACAGTACTTGGCTGGGAATGAGTTCAGAAACCAAATATTGATTTGAGCTGACTGTTGTTAGAATTGCACATTTGTATTCTTTTCTTTTTCTTATCAATTTTTCAGCGGGCTTGACTTTTTTTGATTGTAATGTAGTACTTGAGAAAATATGAAGTGTAGTACCCTACCTAACTACCTTGGAGAAGAATAGTTACAGTTTAAATCCATAATTGGATATTGGATATATATAATTAACTAGTGGGGGTGTTCATTTGCTAGTCAAAAATTTAGATGTAAAATAAACTAAAAGAAGTGGGATGTAAATTTAGATGTCAAAAATTTAGATGCAAAATAAACTAAAAGATGTAAAATTTGGATGCACCTCTATACTTCTACAGTTGGGATATTCTCTTTTGAATATGCAAGTTAGTATTTTTGTCTGTGTTTGGTATTTGAACAAGTGGTTTTGATATAACGAAACCACTTGATATAACTTTACCTTGATATACGAAGTACTTCGGCGTAAGAAAGCATATATGGTGTTCTCAGCTTTTGATTTAAAAAAGCATTTATTTATCAAACAATATCAATTTTTATTTTTTCTCGGCTTACGTGTGAAAAGTGTTTTTCCCTTTTCTATTACACAAAAAACACTTAGGGAATTAAAGTATGTTTGGCACAACTAGTAGAAAAGATACTTTTGTGAGCTTTTTAATACTCCCTCCGTTTCTATTTGGTTGACACAGTTTGACTTGTCAAGATTTAAGGGAAAAAAGTTATTGAGGGGTAAATTTTACTGTAGAGTACACTGTTTGACACTGTTTAGGTAAAGATTTGTTTACCAAATAAGGAAATAAAGAAGTGTGGCATTCATTTTGAAATGTCCAAAAAAGGAAAGTGTGTCAACCAAATAGAAACGGAGGGAGTAACTGTTAGTTTTTAGCGACTAAAAAGATCTTAAAAAGAAAATGTGTTACCTGTTTGGTAAAAAACTGACTGTTTGATTTAGGGAGTGTTTGCAACTGTTTCTGCTTAAAAAACCACTTTTGGAGATGTAAAGAAAAAGTGATTAATAGTAAAAGTTGATAGTGTTTGAGAAAAAAGTGATTTTGAAAAGCAAAAGTTGGTAGTGTTTGGTAAAATAAGTGCTTTTGAAAAGGGGAAAAACACTTTTCACACGCAAGGCCGAGAAAAAGTAAAAATTGGTAGTGTTTGGTAAATAAGTGCTTTTTTAAGCCAAAAGCTGAGAAGTGCTTTTTTTTAAGCGGTTGCAAACACTCCCTTAGTTCGGTTTGGTATACAAGCTGTTAACACTAATTAATACAAAAAGTCACGGGCTTTTTCCAGATGCTACTCGCTGTAGCATCTCCAAAAAGATCTTTTAATTTTCGAAAAGCTCTTAAAAATTGTTATGCCAAACAAACAATTAGAAGCTTTTAGAGACTTTTTATACAGTACAAAAGCTAGAAGTTGGAGACTTATGTGTGCCAAATATGCTCTTATTTTACCAAATACTACCAACTTTTACTTTTCAAAATCACTTTTTTCTCAAACACTATCAACTTTTACTACTCATAACTTTTTCCTTACATCTCCAAAAGTGCTTTTTTAAGCAGAAGCAGTTGCAAACACTCCCATAATCACATGGGATAGAAAAGGTAGCTCGTGATAAACTGGATAGTTAGTATCATCTAGAGCCCGTTTGATCTTGTTAAAATTGATTGAATTTAACGAAATTTATAAAATGCTGATTGAAGTAGCTGAATTAATTGAATTATAAAAAACATATATTACATATTTAAATTTATTTTATTTATAAAATAAAGAAAAATTTTATGAAATTGGTTAAATGATCAACTACAACAACTTCTGACAATTCAATTAGAAAGTAACTCCACTCTTTCTTTTGATTATTATTTTATTATGCAAATCATCGCACAAAATAAAAAATTGTGTGATCGATAAAAATTAATGATAAGATCTATAAATTGAAAATATAGGTTATAACGGGGTCCTAAAGGTTCTTCATTCTAATGATGTGTTTGGATAAAGTGAACCTAGTGCAATAAAGTAAACCTAAGTTTTAATAAAAACTAAGTTAACCTAAGTGAACCTAGGTCCATACATAAAATAGTGTTTAGAAATATAGAAGGTGAACCTAGTTTAATGTAATAAATGTTGTTTGGATGAATATACTCTAGCTCATTTTATGTTATACGAGAACTTAACCTCCAAAACCCTCCGATTCGGAGGTTCTTCAATTTAAGGTTCTTCCATGTTCTCGCGAGTTAAGTGTGATTAACACATAACCTAGGTTCTTGTTACAAAAATACAAATAAATAGGGTTAACTAGAAATTGAACTTTCAATAATCTAGGTTAACCCCCAAACAAACATGCCATAAAGGAAAAAAGGTTGCTTTGTAGATTGGAGAACCGCACTGCTACAATTTCGTCAGAGATCCTTGGATCCGAGTTTTCTTATTTCTTGGTAAAATCTAATTTGATTGTTCTTTTATACGTTTGTGATGTCCTATTGCAACTCTTCGTCGAGCATTATACTTTAGTGTGGTTTGTCTCCATCAGTGGGGAAGGGTTTTGCACACATCGCGTCCCCTTCTAAATGTTTCCTTTTATCATATTGAGGTGTCCCTATTTAATTGTCACATACTTTATTTGGTAAAGTTTGTGTGGTTCAAAATCATTCTTACTTTATTCGTACTTTATCAATCACACAAACCCACTTTACTTAAAACTCGTGACACCCTCTTCTGGGGCATTTAAAGAGGGACGGAGGGAGTATTTCATATTAAAGTTTGTTGGTCTTTTAAAAAACTTTCCATCTTGAACCAATAACATGAACACGAGCGAAATCTTTTTAAATACATGTATGCATTTCTACATAAATCTTTTATTCAATCTTTTTATTTCCAAAATTGATCAAGTAATACGTTTAATTTGAGATATATTGATAAGTGTCTTTGAATAAATGAAAAAAGCATGAGATTATATGTGCAAGTTTGAGTCTTATGACCCGTTTGGTTACATATGTCTTCATCTTATCGGTTAATTTTTTTTAGCAATACGCAACTTTTAATTTCACGAGCTAAATTGTGTGATAATTGAAAATAAGTAAGGTTAGAATTCTCTTTCTGACTGAAATTACTGTAAATGACTATTTTTAGCTATTTTCATATATATATATATATATATATATATATATATATATAGGTTTTGGTTCAAATAAGAACACGATCTTATGAGAAAAATGAGAACGAATCTGGACCGTTAGATTTGCCTCAAGTGAAATTCAGTATGCATTAGATGAAACTGTAATGTGCATTAGGTGAAATTGAAATGTCCATCACAAAGGGTATGATAGAGTGGCATTATGTGCAGTTGAATTGTGCAATACGTGAAATTGAAATGTGCACTAGGTGAAGCTGAAATGTGCAGAATAAAAAGTACGATGTGCTGTTATTTTTGTACTTTTTTTCGCACATATCAATTTCATCTAATGCACACTTGAGTTTAAATTTTTATCTTGCACATTTCAATATCATTTAATGCACATTTCAGTTTCACCAAATGCACAATTTGGTTCCACATAATACAATCCAACGGCCCAGATTCGTTCTCATTTTTCTCCTAAGATCTGTTCTTACCGGAACCGCTCCCTATATATATATATATATATATATATATATATATATATATATATATATATATATTTATATATTATTAATAAAATACGGAGAGCATAATATTTCACGATAACTCTACATATTCGACCAGGATTTCATGAATTTCAAGAGATTCAGTCGTTTTCAACATTATCAAACAAGCTTTTATGGTTTAAACCACATTTTGAAATCAAAAAAATACTACCACATTATAATCTAAAAATGATTTCCACATTGAACAAATAGCAACCAGTTAGGTGATACAAACATAGGGTCTCATTTAGTTAGTCACTATTATTGCATCGTAAAGACTTGAACCTTATGTTCATATTACGTACTCCCTCCGTCCCGGAAACAAGTTCCCGGGTTGACTTTCACACATTTTAAGGAAATAAAGTTAGTGAAGGGTAAATTTTACTGTTTGACACCGTTTCGACATTGTTTGACACTGTTTTGACACTGTTTTGCACTGTTTTGCACTGTTTTGATGTAGGATAACTTTCTATTTAGGGAAATGAGAAGTTTATTTTGGGACATCCAAATAAAGAAAGTGATAACTTGTCTCCGGGACGGAGGTAGTATTTTTTTATTCCTCTAGCTTGAAATGCTTTGACTATGTAGTTAAAATGTGCGTACTTGTGAATAATAGTTTTTTTTAATGATTATAATGTATTTTCGAAATTTAATTATGAAGGAGAATTATTTTTAACTGTATGTGTATATATAAATATGTATATATAGTGTTGACCGGGTTTACCGGTTATTGACCGGGTTGACACCGGGGTTCGGGTTGACCCTTGACTCGGTCACTCGTTCGGGTCGTCTCCCGGTCCGGTTCTTTAAACCAATATATTGAATGCAAAATAAATCATCCGTAGCCTTGTTATCTTCATAGTTTTTTAGAAATATTACCCGAAACGGGACTAAAAGTCTAAAAAGGTTTGAAAATTCCAAAATATGACTGTCATGTTTTTATTTTCAAAATAGGTCTAATTACTATCATGTTTTGGCAGTACCAAACTTCAAATATGACAATATTTTCCAAACTTGGCCATAATTACTCCTATTTTGAGAATAAAGAACATGTCAATCCTATTTTAAAATTTTTCTATTTCGTGTGTTTCCCGTTTTTTACGTTATTTTGTTTGATGCTTGGTATGAGTGCACTCATTGTATCGTGCCAAACTCGTTTCGCACCATACCTACTGATGTACCGTCTACCCCGTCTCCCCATCCCTGCCAAAACATCATCCCATGATTTCACATTTTTCACAACCATCTCGGCATCTCTATAGCTCTAACCTCAGCGTTTCCATATTTCATCGTATTCAGGTATTGTTTTCTTCGCTCAATCTGTAGTCTTTGCTTGACTTCCATCATTTTCAATATTCTCAAAGATAGTTCTTGTATTCCTTCAACTATCCAGATATGAAAGGCATTTCCTTAAGATGTTTTTATCATTAACGAATTATTAGATGGTCGGAATTCCAAATCTGAAAAACCATTCCACAGATCTTCTATTAGCTTTCTATCAAGGTTTTTATGAAACACCGTCACTCTACAGATCTTATTTTCAAGTGTCAG